GACCAAGCCCGATTAATTTCTACTGAAAAGCGGAACCGGTCCCACGTACTCGAAGAGACCACACAAGCTTTGGAGGTTTTGACGTTCTGACGTCTCGCTTACACCGATTATTGACATAATCAAGTCTTGAATAAACAAAACATGTAAAATAATAAACAAGGCATAAACATTCATATCTCAAGCACTTGTATAGGAAACTGGAGGAACCTGCGAACGGTCTTCGCACCTTAGCTACTCAATTGAATTTGTCCAAAGCAACACACCCACTACAAGCTCTTTGAAGCCTCATGAATACCCCGAGTCCCTAAATAAGCTTCACAGGGTCTCATCCAGTAAGGGGGGCATGTGATGCGACAGTTCATATTGCATGAAGAAATCCACTTTTTTTCAGGGGAGGGAAGCTCCGGGGTGGGTGTAAAAGTTAAGCGAAATGGTTCACGCACCCCGGGGGTTCCCTCCCCTTGCAAAAATTGGAATTTCTGTAGCCAACAAGAACTGTCACCCCCCCCCCTTACAAAATGAGACCCACTCGACAACTCAAAGAGCGACATACACATCTTTCGTACCAAAAAATTCTAGTAAAACACCATTGTTACATAGAACTGGCTCTTTCAAGCCATAACACTCGAACGAAAAGTCAAATAAGCTCGTGCTTATGTCTCTGAGAAGTGGCCTCTCGTGGGATATTGATCACGGTCAATGAAAACCTTGGAGGTAAAGGAAAAGAGTTGAAAAGTGAAGCTGACTGTAGGTGGTGAAAGGCGATGGATGGTGTCGATGATGATGGCGAGAGATCAGCGGTCGGTCTTCGGTCCTGGGCGATTACGCTGCGTCTCGTCGAATTGCACCATCCCTCACTGCCGCACCATCCATACAACTTCCACATACACTCAATTGCCTTATCAAACGCAGTTTCCGACGAGAATCCACAGTCATATGGCATACCGTACGCCGTCGGGGTTGCACTTACGGCTAATAAGGCAGGATTCGAATAATGGTGTGGATAAACACACGATGAAATGCCTCAACCGTTTTTAGTAGGATGCGTAGCCGATTCGATTTCCGCTTAGAATCGCAGGGAGATTGAGAGATTTCAGAATTTATC